GCAACTCGAAGTCGCTGTCTCCGTAATTATGGCGCACCCTGTACTGCGATAGCGCCAGTTAGCGTTTCTATCCCCCAGGCGATTCTGGTACTAAAGAATCTACCCCGAACGGGGTAGAAGGCTTGGTTGGTTTAAATGCGAACAAGTTAAAGACGTAGACTGAGCCACATGTGAACACTGCGAGCTGCTGCATAGCCCTACATCCTGCATGTGGATGCTTAGGAAGTTGAGAGCAGTCCGGAACGGCCGTTCAAACTGTTCCTTCACGCATCTCTTCTCTTTCGAACAACAACTACTTCTAAATGATTGGGAAGCAAAAGCTGGATCAGTGGATTCCCTGCCTCCAGGGAATAATGTGGGAGTACCTTCGTGATGTTTGATCGAAACGCATTGATTTCGCATCACACTGTACTCTCTACTCTGTAGGGACAGTAATTTGACCGACACCACTGAGAAGATGTAGATCAACTCAACCTGCCCCATGGCGGCTTGTGCTGCGGACTTCGTGCTTTGAAGCCCGCTTCTCTGCCACTGCGCTATCGATTTAAAGCCGCCCACAACACATCGCGGTGTTGGTCATTCCAGTCCCACATTTCAAATACAACTCCACATAGAATATTTATAATTTATACATATAGAAAAGCATTTCCCGATACCGAATTAATTATCACAGACATATAAATGAATTAAATTCCCAGAACAAATACCTGTGGCCAAGAAATTTTTCGCACATAAAGCACAACTCATATTTAGAAAAACGAAAAACAAGTCAAAAAGATGTACGTTAAAAACGCAAATGAGATTAACAGTATCAGAGGGCAACAGCGGTCATTTCACAAACATCCACCATCAATGAAAAACGCCTTCTCATGATACTATTCCCTATTTAACAACAAGTACACATGCTGTACTGTAGGAACTGCCGCTATAGTTCTTCCCTCTTCATCATAAGCTCTGGTAGCAAACGATAGTGCTCTTGCAAATGTGTCTGCAATTCGTTTTCGCACCGGAGAAAGAAGGATCGCCTCGGTCTCGGCAACACCGATATACAGCGAATATGTGGCACATAGCTGGAAATAAATCGATCGATAGAAAAGCGAAAAAAAAACACACATTACTCCCAACCATTTTCTGAAGTACTGTATCAACACTTCATCCATAACGGTGTAAAGGCTAGCATGCTCATTAACTGATGTTCACTGTTTCCCTTTACCACGTTTAACATGAGGAGAGCAACACATTCGCTGCGGCAGCCCATGTGGTCCGCCAGGGACTAGCGCTTTTGGGAGTATGACAGCCCTTATGGTCTGCCAGTTAGATCGTATAACTTC